TTTCTTTCTTTCTTTCTTTCTTTCTTTCTTTCTTTCTTTCTTTCTTTCTATTGTTTTTCTTTTTTTCTTTGGAATTTGTTTCATTTTTTAATTTTTTTATTTTTTATTAGATATTTAATTTATTTACATTTCAGATGTCATCCCCTTTCCTGATTTCCCCTCCCTATCCTATCCCCTCTCCTCCTTTTGCTTTTATACCATTTTAATTATATGCAAGTATTAAGGTCAGTTCTAGGTTGAGAAACTAGCAATACAATAGATCAAAATAGTCAAGGAACAAGCAAGAAAATAAACATACTAATGAAAGCCAGAGGGTGGAGCAAATTAAGCATGCCTCCCCAGATCCTCCCCCGATCCTCCCCCTTTCTCCCTCCCTATATAACTCAGGACTGCGCTGAGTTTTACGGGGGTACATCCAAATCCATCCACCATCTGCCATGACAATAAACCTTTCTGGAACCAAGGACTTCCTCATGTCATTGGGCCTGCTGCTGCTGCCAAAGCCTCCAGGCTGCTGGAACCTTAGATGTTCCTCCTGCATGTGAGACCTGTAGTGCGTGGAAACCCACTGGGACTCCAGTACTGCAGCCCTCAAATTTTTTCCCAAATTTGGCACCCACAAGGAGCACAGACACCCACAGACTTCAAGAACCAGGCTGCCACAGTCTGCTACAGAACACAGCCGAGCTTCCCGCCCTGCTTGTCCAGTGCTGTGAGGAATAGACTCAGTGAAGATTCTGTGCTTCTCCCATGCTGACTAAAGCTGCAGCTGCTTAATCTCTCACCTGGAGGATCCTCTGTATTCCAGATACAATGACCCACATCTTCAAGCAAGCTGGGCAGGCCACCGAGTCTGCTAAGCAAGTACTGTAAACAAATCCCTCTCACGGGTGCTGCTTGGGCCTCTTTCTTCTCCCCCCCCCCTTATTTTTCTTGGCTGTGGGTTGTCTGGTCATGCGCCCACATGCCCCCATCTCAGTCCTTCGATGGCCTCTTAGCGATCTGAGAGCACAAGGACTTGAGACCAGTCCGAATCCAGCCAACTTCAGGCCCCAGGGATCCCCAATCCAAGAGCTCTGCACCCCTCAGAACCAGAATGAGAATTCCTCCATGCTGGGTGGAGCCCCGCTGTGTTCGCCAGGTGTTGCAGGGAATAAACTCAGCCAAGATCCTGTGTGCTCCTGCCATGTTGAGCTACCACATAGTGGCAGACACATGGACCCACAATGCAACAGAGTGCACACGAATGGGCCTACATCGTTCCCTACAGGTGGTAGAGGATCCAGGCAAAGCCAGCTCCAAGAGTACCCCCCCCCCGCTGGCACCCACCAAGAACTTCTCCATGGAACCATGAGTAACTCCAGCCTAGTCCCCAAGACTAGGCAGGTCTCTCTCTTTCTCTCTCCACATATTTCAGGCCAGCATTTTCTCTCTGACTCTTAGCTACCACTAGTTCCTGCCTAGCTCAAAAGACTAGGTCTATATCTCTCTCTCCTCCATGAGTTCTGCAGTTCAAGGGCAAGATGTCGGCAGCTCCCTAGCCTCCACTCTGCCCATCCCCCAGCTCCACAGAGAGGGTTCCTTCACAGCTAACAGCTGTTTCAAGCCACAGTGTCTTCTGTAACTCTCGTTCTGTGACTCTTTCCCTTAGTTGAAAGATTCCCCTTTCATTTTGAGCTCTATTTAGATTAATCAGATGCCATCACTCTTGAATTGTACAATATGTATTTTCTTGATTCAATGATCCCTTGCCTTCCCAACACCCACCCTCAACTCCCCTTACCCTGTGACTTAATTCTGCTAACCTCTCTGGCCTACATAGTGCTTTCTTTTGGCTTCCTCATCCAAAATTTTCACCACAGATGACACAGTGACCCCCCTTTTTTAAAAATGTAAAGGGAAGGAGATGTGGAACTGCATAAGGGTATTTTGGGTCATGGCTGAGCAGTTGCCTAGAACCCCGAGACTCTGCATGAGAACTGGCAGGAGTTCAGCGTGCCCCCAAAACCCACAGTCCTGAAAAGCAGTCTAGTCTCCATAGACCAACATTGTTCAGTCATGTAGGCCAGCCATTACAGCCTCTCCCAAAGAACACAGATAGAGAGTGTGACTAGAGGCCTCAGGCCCTAGGGATTTACATACCTATGAAGGCCAGAGGGCAAAGCAAATTAAGCATGCCTCCCCAGATCCTCTCCCAATCCTCCCCCTTTCTCCCTCCCTATATAACTCAGGACTGCGCTGAGTTTTACCGGGATACATCCAAATCCATCCACCATCCGCCATGACAATAAACCTTTCTGGAACCAAGGACTTCCTCATGTCATTGGGGCCAAAGCCTCCAGGCTGCAGGAACCTTAGACATTCCTCCTGCTTGTGGGACAGGCAGTGCGTGGAAACCCACTGGGACTCCACTGCTACAGTCCTCCAACTTTTTCCCACACACATACATTCACAGATAGTAAGAATAATATTAACAGAACACAAAAACTCAAAGTATGACTGGGTTTATTTTTCCTTCCTGAGAATCAAGGGTGAACCTCTACAGAAAGGACTAAATAAAGATCTAAAGAGAGCAGACTAGGGCTCTAATGTGGACTATAGATAGAACATGCTTTTTCTAGGTGAGTCTTCACATTTTGTCCATTGACCATGATGTTCTTCAGGACAAATTTGGGCTGTTTGCTTTCTCATAAGTTTAACCCTTAAATTTGCAGACATAGGGCAACTTCACCTCACATGTAGTATCTCTCCATCTTAGAAATCCTGGGAAGGAAAAGAGGTTAAGTAATTGAGAACTGTGAATCTTGGGAATCTTAAAGAAGAAATACCTCAATGTATGACCCCAATTTGAAAGTCAATCCTTCATGCTAATCAGTGTTAGAATCTAGGGGAAGGAGATACCTATGAAGCCAAGAAAGAAGATGAGCAAAAACTAATACCATTTCCTAGCTCAGAGCTACCCAGGAATATGAGAAGAAGGGTATGCATTTAGGCAATGTGCCTCTTCTCTTTCTTACCAGAAGCTCTCGACAAGCTGCCACAGAAACCACGGTCTAAGGCAGTAGATGGGTTCCTCTCCCAGTTAAAGTAATTCATCACGTCATTGTTACTCCACTCCCATCCGCCTCCATTGGGTTCAGCACCCTAGTGAGGAGGTATGCAGATGAAAGGAAGGGTCCAAAACTCTGTATGTGTACAACCATCAGTGAAATCCTACATTCCCTGCCAGCCTCCCAGTACATGGGTTATCATATCCAGCTTTCAACAGCACACCAATAGAAATTATTCTTGTTTTCATGTCTATTTATAAACACAGAAACTAAAAAATTTATTCAAACTATAAATGGTGCTAAATCAGCAATTTACTTTAAAATGGAAGGGAGTTGGTTATTCTATTAAGAGAAAATATAGATTGCCTCTTTATTCTGTGCCTCTTGATTGGTTGTGTGCATGCTCCCTGAAACTGAATCAGAATGATTCCAAATCCTCATACAGACATCTGTAAAAGTCAATAATAAACACAGGAACTTCATCTGAAGTCTAAAACCCTCATAGAGGTCAGCTCTACAACTGTTCCTGATGGTTTCCCTGGTCCAGATGTCATGTGGGGTCTGACCTCTGTCTTTCAAGATTCACTCTGGGGAGGCATAGACAGTATATGCCCACATGACAATAGCATTGAGAGGAAACAGAAAATAAGGTACCATACCAGTGTGGGGTCATGGAGCCCAATCCAAGTATATTGGTAGCTGTTCCCTGTGCTCTTCACCATGGAGGATAGAAATGAAGCTTCAGCTCCATTGAGCACAGATGCGAGGTGTCCTTCGGGCCTCTTCTGGCAGGCCAGCTATTTGAGTATCAAAATGAAAAGGATATTTAGACTTCACTGGAATACATAGGTAAGTTAGAGGAGAGGTTATCTTTAAAGTCAGTTATTCTCAGAGAAAAGGAACTAGGGACAATGGAACCTAACATTCCCCCATGTTCCTTATGTACTTTCTCCTTCCCAGCACTTACTTCTGCATCAAACCAGGTCTGTGGTATCTGAAACAAGGCATAGCAGTAGGAGCCATAAGCCCGAGAGCCCTTGGGGCAACTAATGCGTGCAGAAGGTATGTTATTCTGGGAGTCTTCACCTAAGGTGGAGTGAGATAAATAGAGCAATGAGGTGAGATGAAAAATAAGAATTAGATAGAAGGTCAAAATAGAGATATTTCTGTAGATTATTTTTTGGATGAAGATCAATATCAAGCCTTCCAATAGTCTTTGAAAAAATTGTGAGGAACAGATATAATAAATGGTACAGAAAAAATTTTTCTCGTCTTTTATACACATTAGTCCATGGCTCTGCCAACTCTGGGCATAGAGGATAAAATTCAGTTGTCTATCTTTCTTCTTTCATAGAGCTTATTATTAACTATCATATTTTCACTTTTAATCCTAGAAACATAGACTACAGCATCCTGACAAAATAAGAAATCTTGTCTTTTCACAGTGATATTTGTCTTTTCACTATGATACTTTCTAAAACTAATTTCCTGGAGGACAGCAAGATGGTAGAGAAGTTGCATGCAGTTTTCCTGTGTGAATGTGCCTCCTAATCACTACATGAGACTTTCCTGAAAGAGCTCATTGCAACAGGCAAAGAGGTCTTACCTTGCACCTGAGATAAGAGCATCAGACAGGAAAGCAGCATCCAGGACATGAGGAGGAGGGCCATGCGAGGCAGCATCTTGTCTGTGAAGGAGGAACAGCCAGAGTAATTCAAGGTAGTGTAGTTAGTGAGAACTTTCAGAGAAAACTATCCCTCCCCTTCCTTGATTATCTCTCAAGGGAAAAATCATATCATCCTGTCTTTCTCCTGTGATACAGGAATTAGATGGAAATTGATGGGTTTTCCTCTTCCTGATATCTTCTTAAATAGCCCAAGTTACAAACCTCTGTGTTGTCCAAGGACAACAGACACCTGTCCTGTGTGTGAGAGATGTATTCATGCCTACCTCTCATCATCTTTCAGCTCCCCCTTACCTGTTTTGCAAAGATCTGGATGGTTTGTCAGGACACAGATGACTGTGTTTTTATAACAGGACTTGTAGGAGGGGCATCAGAGTAAATAACTGGAATGTTTATTTGGGTTAGGGTAGTGGGTAGCATTTGGCATAGACTCAAAAGAGTTTCCAAGAAAGAGCAGGCAACTCTTCTAGTAACTACTGATAATTGCCATAAACATTACCTCTTTCCTGTTAGCAGCCTTGCTTTACCTCAGGTGTGAGTGAAGTTTGAACCATCCACACCCTCTTCCAATATTCTGTTCTGGGAAACATAAGCAAGCAATAGTAGCATTTGGACACAAATTATGCTGTGACATAGTTTTAAGGAACTCCTACCCCATCAGTTAAGGAAAGTAAAACTGTTTAGTTAAAGAAAATAAATATGAGTCAATTTGGAAAACCTCACTTGTTTAGGGCTTTCTTAATCTTCATCTGGAAATCTAAAAATTAGAAAGAACTGAGTAGATTAAAAACTGTACATGTAAATTAATTGATTGAAGGTGATGAATTCATACTAAAAAAAGAAATGATGACTTTAGATATGTTGATAAAGCTTCATATCATTTTGTAAAGTTAGCTTTTAATAAGTAAACATTCTTGTACAAAACTTAAGAAAATTCACCTGAACAAACTTTCCTTGCATGTATTTCTCTGAGATTAGCAATGAGTTCAAGTTCATTGTATTCAACCTGGTAATTTTTTACCCTGAGGAACAATCTACAGCCTAAGATCTTACAGTACCAGGGATTTTTGTGGATCCTTTTACAATAGCTATGTAAGTCTACTCTTCATTTCATAGTGAGTTTCTTCTTCTTCTTTTTTTTGTTTCCACACTGTAACACCTATACTCATGCTACCAAAAGAGGATCTAGTCCCATAGCTTTGGTTAAGTACAGGTCACCAGCCTGTGTTCTTCTTCTATACATGTAATTAGCAAATAGCCATTGTCAATCAAGCCCTGTGGCACAGATCTGCAGTCCAAACTACACAGGATGCTGAGGTAGAAGGGTTGGAAGTTTAACCATGACCTGTCTGTGCTGAGAGTTCAAGGCCAAGTTGAGTATCTTATTAAAAGTCTATCTAACCAAAATGTAGAAAGAAGTCTGTAGACATAAGCATTTGCCTACTGTGGGTAAAACCTAGGGATGCATCCACCGTAGCATAAGCACATGAAGAAGAAATCATGACTTTGAAGTACATTTGACTTTGATTAACAGAAAATTAGCTAACTGAACTAAAATCCAAATCTTGTGTATATTTATTTAATAGTTTTTATGACTAACTGAAAAATCTGAAGACTTAAGTACAGACATTGTTTCTAGAAAAAAAAAACTATAATATCAATACAACTGTTTTGTGTAAGGTACTTTGCTTCTTACCTGAAAAGCAAGTTGACAAATATCAGTTGTTCACCTGTGAAAAATGTATCAACATATATTAAAAGGGATTGATGCAAATTAGTAAATACATACTTTTAGTGTACCCCATCATTGAACTTTGAACAATTCATTAGGGAAATAGAATTAGGACCCTTAATACTTTTTAGAAATATCATTTTGTCCTATTGATAATATTATTAACTACGCAAAAGCTTTCTAGTTTCATGGGTTCCCATTCATTGTTTATCTTAGTACCTGAGCTATTAGTGTTCAGTTCAGGAAACTGCCTCCTGTGCAATTGGTTAAAAGCATGTCCTCACCATATTTTGTATTAGATTAAGTATTAGTTCTTTGATCCACTTAAACTTGAGTTTGGAGATTGAGATCAGAATAGAAAAGGGTGAGGGACATCTCTGGAATTAGCTGGAGACCTGGGAAGAACAGACTCCTAAGAGTTTATGGGGGTGAACCTAGCTGAGAAACCTGCCAGTTGGGGATATGGAGATGGAAGTGACCATCACAAAGCCTTCAATTCAAAATTTGTCCTGCCTTCAATATGTGCAGGGATAAAGATGGAGCAGAAATTAAGGAGATGATCAACCAATGACTGGTCCAAAGAGAAATATACCATGGGTGAGTCTTATCCCAGAACAAGGTGGTACCCAAGGAGGTCTTCACTCTCTCTAAGGAGAAGCAAAGGGGTAAAGAGGGAAGGTATTGGTAAGGGTGAATCTGGGAGAAGGGCAAAGCTATTGTCAGGATATAAATTGAATAAATAATAGAATAATTAATTTAAAAAGTACCTATTTTGCTGCGAAAGTATGATGCAAGGTCTAAGATTGAGCTCAGCAGTACAGTGGAACAACAATTGTCAAACCATGAAAGGCACTCTCTGTATAACTAATCTGAAATTCTTACAAATTTTATAATTTACAATTATTCTAAAATATAATTTAAAAAGATTTTTGGCTAATGATTTAAATAATGGGAATGGTCTAATGGAAAGTGGACATTTGGTGGAGATGTCAGTTTAGAAGACATGAGTTTTGGATTTAGAGATTATATCTAAAGGCTTGACCATCTCTCATTATTTCTTACTCATTCTTATTCATTAAATAGGCTTACTTCATAATAAAGTCTTTTTATTTTACAGTTTTCTCTTCTACCTCATTCTTGAGCTCAACGTGCTACATTGACTTTCCTGTTTCACCTTTCCTCACTGTGTCACTTAAATCTACCCATAGATATACATGAGAAGTTTCTGATGATGGGCCACTATGCTAGTTCTCATTGATGGTGGACCTAGAAAAAGGCAGGATGATAGGTTTGCAGGCAGTTTTCTTGCATGGAACATTTCTTATCATTATCACATGTGAGTCTTAAGAATATTCCCCTGCTCTGAACATTCTCAAGGAGACCAGTGATGCCAACACAGAAACCTAATCTTGTCCCTGACATAGAAGTATAAATCAGAAAAGCAGCACTGGAAAACAGACTGGGAATAATCAAAGAATGCATAGGATTCAGTGTCATAGCTGGGAGGAAGCAATCAGAGTCATTAAAAGGAATGTGATCATAAAGAAGATATTCAAACTTCCCACTACCTCTCTCCTACTGCCTGTGTTTAATCTGCTTCTTATTCCCCAGTTCCTTTTCATTTTCCTAGTATTAGTAGAATATTTACATGCTCTGCTTCCACTGAGAAATCCTATGCCAGCAATTGTTAGAGAACTATTATGTTAGAGTTAGAAAGTAATAGTTGGAGAACTAATGGAGACAATTCATGCTCTCTGATAAAGATACTACTTGTATCCTCTAACTCACAAGCTAGACCCTTTCTAGGACTTTCATTTTTCTTCATCTCTCACAAATCTGAAAGTTGTTATCTACACTAGTTTGTAGTGACAGAAAATAGATATTGCAATTACATAAGATTATGTAAGGAAAGAGCAATTATGTGCATTATGGGAATGCATATGATAAGGCCATGGGTAGGGTTTGTTATTGCTTCCAGAAAATTTCCATGATCTTTGGGTTTGGCTGGTAAGGAATACTTCCTCTTTCCAGTGAGTGTGTCAGCTTTTACTAAATTCAGGGAAGAATTTTTTCTTTAGCTCCTTCCTTATTGTTTATCTGTCTATAATATCAATTCTTATACTAGATATTCACAGCGCATATAAAAATAAATTTCTTCTAAATTTTCTCCAGAACTTATATCTAATTTAGCTAATATGCTTATAGTTCTCTAATATCTTTATATAGAATTCTGTGTCTTAAGTGTAGCTGAGCAAATGAATTAGACTTAGCACCAACATTTAAGATTATATAAGGAACTAAGGTTTAGAGCAGGCCTGAGAAGTCAAGTATGCTGTCTGAGTCAAGGATGCTGTCTCTGTTGATTAACGGCATAATGGCAAAATGGTCAAAAAAGAGGCACCCAGAGAACTTAATGCTTAAGGGGGATACAATGAAATGATGTAAATGGAGGCAGCAATGAATAGAATCCAAAGAAATGTCAGACCCAGCAGCATACAAAATCAACACAAGGTTCATTTTTTATAAAGCACATCTCTACTTCAGAAAGATATAGTGCTCTTAGGTCTCTTTTGAGCTCTCTTGCAAAATGATCATTTGTCTATGATTAAAACTGTTACCACCTCATTTTCATTAAGAAAATGTCCAGGAACATGTAGATGTGCTTAAATGTGAAGGTGTGTGTGTTTTTTATTTGAATTATTTTGGTTTGGTTTGGTTTGGTTTGGTTTGGTTTGGTTTGGTTTGGTT